CAACTAAAATGTAAAAATGGTCTCAAAAAGTACCGCACCTATATCCGGATATAGGTGCACCCCTTGTGTGAAAACTCACATATAGGTGCATGCACTTATATGCGGCGTAATACGGTAATAAAATTTTAAGTGTTTGTGAGTATTAATTGTATAATGCGTCATAATTATAATCCCCAATATATAATGCAATTAAAAATAGTCATTATGAATTATATAGTAATTTAGTTTGTTGTACAGTATCCAAAGAAAATTCGACTATAATTAGTCATGTACCAATTAATAAGAATGATACACGTTTTACGTAAAATTGTTAGATTATATTTGTAATTAGCCATAACGGAATATATATTAATTTTGACAAATGTTTAGTACAAACATCGAATAGGATATTAATTTTAACGTGAATTTAAAATAGGATTGTATGCTAAAATGTGGTACAATATGATAAATAATTACCTTGCTCATCCAATCTCTCCATCTATGTTAAAATAAATCAATTATATTTTATACGTATATTTTATGCGCTTTACAAGTTATTGATAAATGCTGAATTTAAGGGCACTTGCGGAATAATCAACTTAATACAATTATATGGTGTTTTAAATAATTTAAAAATTAGTTACTTATTAAGACAATGATTTAATGTTGAGTGAGGGAGAGAGAAACAGTTTATTATTATATTCAATAATAACTGTAACATAGTCATAATTATGTGAAACATATAACAATTAATTATAATAAAAATAATATCATTGAAGAGGCATATGTAAAGCTGTCCAACTTTTTAAAATTCATATTATGCGCCAAAGTTAATCTCAATCAAACAGTGTGAACTGATACAGTGGCCAATCAACATCGTTTGAGAAAGTGATCTGAGAAAGTAATCTCAAAAGGTTGGACAGGTATTATTGCAAAAAATTAATAGGTATTATTGTAATAGTAATTACATATTAATTATTCCACAATGAAAGTATTGTGTTTGTTGTCGTTATTGTATTTATCGGTTAATTCATTGCCAGTCAATGAGTTTAACGGTAAAAATTGGGTTGTATTGGTAGCTGGGTCAAATACGTGGGGCAATTATAGACACCAGGTTTGTTTTTTGAAACTAGCTCTCTCTCTCTCTCTCTCTCAAAATTGATTAATTTATACGCAACTAATTTTCCATAAATTATACCCTAAAGGCCGACGTATACCACGCGTACCAAATAGTAAAGGCAAACGGTATTCCCGATGAAAACATAATTTTAAACAAATTGTGTAATTGTAAAACAAATACCCGGGAAAGGTATACAACGGGCCGACCGGTCATAACGGCACTGATGTCTATCACGGCGTACCCAAGCATTACACCGGCAAAGAGGTTACCCCCGAAGTAAGTAATGTTTTGTAATACAATTTAATATAATTAAAACTTCAAAAATATTATAATTAAAATTGCAAAAAACGAAGTCTGCGATTAACCAAAATAAATTAACATTTAATTGATGATTAAGATAAGATAGCTATTTAACCATGTTTACAGTTTATTATACTACAGCCATATAATTTCAGCAAATAATCATTGATTATTGAAATTACTTTGAAAAATATAAATTCTAATTAAAAGTAATTGTAAAACAAAAGTGAAACCCGAGTGCTATTCGGATATTCAAAATTAAATTATTATTACATTGATGAATAAATGAATAGTATAAAATTACTAATTATTATTTAAATTATTGCATAAATACCCTCAAGTCAATTAATGGCTGTTTCTAAACATATCTAACAAGTAAGTAATCCTGATTAGTGATTATCTCAATTATTTTTAATAATAATAATTTTATTTAAAATAAGTGCAAAACTATTAAGTTTTGCCCAATTCTCTACCCACCCAATTTAAAATAATATTACATAAAAATAAGTTATACAAAAAAATCCATTTAGATATATTTACAGTTTTAGCAATTTAAATTAATAAAAGTAAAAATAAGTTTTAAAACATTTATAATATATTTTATGTGATATTCAATTTTTATATAATTATCATTTAAATTACTGTGTATAAATTATTAATTATAATTATTATAAAAGAATTTCCTGAAAGTATTGGCTGGCGATAAGGGTCTGAAAAAGGCCGGTAAAAAAGTGCTGGAAAGTGGACCAAACGATCACGTGTTTATATTTTTCGATGACCATGGTTCTCCCGATTTGGTCGCCTTCCCCGACAAGTATTTATACGCCAAACTACTAATGAAAACGCTGAAACAAATGCACCAGGATAAGAAATACGCAAAATTAGTGTTTTACATTGAGGCTTGCAAATCAGGTACCATTGATTTATTTTACAAAGTCCCTGTTTTAGTTCAAACAAAGTCCGTACAGGGGCCGGTGGCAGCATTAGTTATACATTAGGTATAGTGCAGACAACTCATACATCTCATTCAATGCTATATGAGAATGAATAACGTTTTATAATTTAATAATTTTTAATTTGATATTTTAAAATATTTACTAATCAAATGTGCATAAAAATAACANTTACTAATCAAATGTGCATAAAAATAACATTTAGATCCGTCTTATTTTACAAGTATTAAATCTTTAATACAATAAGTTTGAATTTTAATTACTTATATCATTCATATTGTTTAATAATCAGGGAATTGCATTTAACTATAGTAACTATTTTTAGCGGTTAATAGTATTACCCCCAGACTTGGGATGTGAACAGATCATGTATTGGGGGTCAGTTTACCGAAAGTTTATTTTAACTATATTTAACTATTTGAGACGTTAGTAACTATTTTGTAAAATTGTGTAGATTTTAGCATAAAAACAGTTATATTTGAAATAGAATTGAAACAAAAGGAAATTTTAGTAATCGAAATAAATATAAGATGTAAAGAAAGAGAAATATCACAAGTTTTGGTTTTGTGTTTTATACTCAAAACATTGAAATTACCAAAAGTGTCGTAATTTTAAGGATGATCTGATGAGATATCGCAAAGCACAACATGAACTCTTTATTAAATTAGTTAAATTTGAGTAATCACCTTTATCTCAAACTTTTGTTATTTTGGTAGACTT